TCAACGGTCCCTGTGTCAAACGAGAAGCTTCTGCACACAAGTCCAAATCATGTGACTCTATGTCTTCAAAATGAGAGGGGAGGTTAACCCGTGCCTGGTAGGTCGAACCCGTTCAGGTACTGTAAAGTTTAGGGGTCCAGGGGGTGTACGGATTCCACAATCGAGGGCTCTGGAAGCACCCTCCTGACACCCGGCGAAGACGGTGGCTGCCCATGACGTGGCGGTACAGTCTGCGGAGCCTGTGGAGAGGGTTGCGACACTGTGACGCAGCGATGACATGATCTGATTGAAACAAGGGTACGGACGTTGATAAGCTTTCATTGTGCGCGTAGCAGCAGTTATCAGGACGGTGGCGAAGCCTTTCACACTTGTGGAAACCTGCATGCATTGAATTACAATCCAGCTGTTGTTCTTACTGCCATGCTCCTCAGCATCATCATTGTCACCTTTATCCGCAGCATCCACATTCTTGGAAACTGCTGGGGCCCGTGGCGTTTCAGATGATACCACCGGAGTTCTTTTCTTGCGTGATCATTATGAGTATACTTACTACGGTAAATATGATTCAAATCTGCAAAAACCACATCTAAGCACACATATACGCATGTACGCATGTCTTGAACCCCCGAGCAGCTCTAGGCCTTGTTGCTGAAGGCCGAGAAGGGCCGCGATCTCGCAGTTGGCTGTGGAACAGGGACCTGGAAGTCTGTAATGTAGGGGCCTTAAGAATAGGGTTTGGTTTTCATTATACCATAACTACATTCATGAATCCCCAAAATAGTATAGGTATTTATTTAGGCCTCTATATTACAAAACGAAGCTGCTAAGAAAACGATCCTACAGGGAATGAGGATGCGGGCTTAGAGCACTCAAGTCGACGAATGCACTCCGGGTGTGCCTTGTCGGGTATCTCCAGCTCTGCCTCTTCGTCTTCATCCGCCTTAAGACGGCAGCCCTCCCCAAGACATGGGTAAGGAGCGCCGTTGCTGAATTCCCAAGCAACGAGTCCGAGTTTCTTCTACCGACACCACTTCCGAAAGAACACCCGAGCCTTCAGACTGAGACGCTTTCCTAAATCCTTCTTGGCCCCCTGCTCCGTCTTTGTAAACCTCTTGCATGGCCGCTTCGAAGCGAGCACCAAGCTCTGGGTCCTCATCATGTCAAAGAGCTGACGAGCAGCACCCACCCACCCACCGAGAGAGAGAGAGAGAGAGAGAGAATATATATGTATATAATTTAAAATGTAATATAATGTAAATGCGTATATATATATATATGCTACGTACTATATCATATGAAACTGTGCATACATATATGTATATACATGTACCTGTATGTGTGTATGTGCATACACCAGCATGCGCAGGCAGAGGCGGGCACGCAATGCATGCCATGCAGATGCATGTGATTGTACAGAGCTGCAGTCATTCCGGAAAAGTGCCTTCTGTCATGATTGCCAGAACCGTTCAGGTCAGAATGAGGCATAGCAAGTTAGGGCAAGCCCGTAGCGGTGCATCGGAGAGCCTTTTCAACCTCTTCCTCGAGCTCGGCTACCCAGGCGTCCGTCGAAGCCTACTTGCAGTGGGAATCGCTGCTATCGGAGCGTACGTTACAGGATGCCTTCTGCTGCGGACCTGGGTTGAGAGTTGGTCTTCAGAAAGAACGGAAAAACATGCAAATTTCAAACATGCAGCCTGGCCTGGCCGGCAAGTTCGCAAAGGTTTGACAGTTAGCAGCTGTGGTCGGGAATACTGGGAAAACCGAACGTGGGCGACGGCGATGAAGATGTTGGCGATAGTGATGCTGATAGTGACGGACAAGAAGAATGTTGTGATGCGTGTCATGGTAAAAGGGGAACATGAAGGTGCAGAAACGTTGCTACTGATGAGGCTGGTAGCAGTGAGAGAGATTATGATTATGACTATGATGGGAACGGTGCCACCCACGATGATGACAATGGTGACGATGATAGTGGTGACGAGGTGAAGGTAAACATCAAAGTGAACATGAAGGACAAGATTAAACACTGTACAATCATGCTGAAGATGATTATCAAACTACGCTTACGGCTACTTGTAAGATGCCACGGTACTCTACAAGCGGAAGATGATGGTGACGAGGATGGTGGTGGAGATCCTTTCGTGCAGCTGTCTACCTGCCTGATGTTGCAGCGCTGCGTAGCGCGGTCATTCACAACAATACAAACAAGAAAGAACTTTACCTAGGCATGCGAAACCACCAACCCGAAAGCCTCAACAAACAGACGCACGGCATCGCACAGCGAGCCTGGGCAGGAGTTTCCTCTGCCATGTGCGCTGACCAACCGTTGTCCGGTGGAGCCTTTCGGCGGCAATTTCCAATTTCCAGGTCCACACTGCTTTGCATCACGCGCACCCAGATCATGAAGAATGAACGGCTGATTCAGACAAAGTAGACTTCTACACACCTCAGCGATCCTACCTCCGAGAACTGTCCAGCCTTGATTTCCCTACTTTGGGGGCTCTCCGGCCAAGCGTTGAAGGTTCTTGTCGTCCCTCACTTCAAGGACACACTGACATCAGGGCAGGGACACTCTGCCTCTTGCTCCTCCCCTCCGGTCCCGGGCCATGCATCGTCCTTACAAGGCTTGCGCAAGACATGTCTGGAATCGAGCAGACGTCTACGAAATACCAAATCACTCAGCATACAATACATAGTGGCGCATGCACTTGCCGACATCGCGTCTAGCAGTTGCAGATAAAGAACTGCTAAAAGGCGACTGATAGTCGCTCCACATCCATGGAAGCCTTATCAAAATCGCGCCTTGGTAGCCAGCTGATCCAGAAGAGAACCCTGCGGCGTGAGCACTGCAAGAGTTAACTGTCACTGCCTATTGACAGGGAAGACGCAGTAGCAGCCCGGCAACTTGACACTTCGATTCAGGTCTGGTGCGATTGTTGAGACGGTTCTGAAGTACATACCAGAACGCGGTACCCCTGATGTGTGCAGCACAAGGAAACATAAGCACAGATACTCGAAAACTCTTGCTGCTGTGCTATTCGGATTTCTCACTTGGGTGCATTGTATTGTAATACTCTCCACATGTTGGTTGCTTTTGAGTTGCTTTATTCAATACTATGACCTTGCTTCTTTGCAAGGGGGTCTCGATGCTCGGTGAAAGGTCAGCGTGTAGGAAGACATCTGTGGGCCCCGAAAGGCCTCTGCGCGATACCACCGAGTGCTTACATTCGGGCGGCCGTCTGATCGTGCCACTTCGGGTGTGGAGATTTTTGCGTGTTTTGTGGAATGTCTGCAGTCATTCAGATCGCTTGAGGGGTTCGATTGGCACTCTGGCCACTTCTCGGCATTCACAGCTGCAGCTTCAGTTTGGCAGGGTTCGTTGCCCTCTGGCTGTCGGGCCTTGAAACCATTTATGGAGCCCAGCCGCAGCTTTTGATTGGAAGACTCGCTTCAACTAATGAGAAAACAGTGTACCTCCGAAGGACAGCGAAGTCAACTAGCGACCACAGCCACACTTGGCTGGGTGCACTAAGGACTTACACATTCTCTGTCTAGCACCTTCACGATGGCCTGACACGGGTTTGTTTCAACCTCACGAGTAGTGAGACTTACGACTTACGAGGCACATGCAGGACAATGAAATACCACTGCACGACACCTCTTCACCAGCTTCTTGGCCATCAACCAAATCCTGCATAGCATGTGAAGATGTTCAATGAACCATGGAAATGACGTCTGTTTACAAGAGCCTGGGAACACATGATCTATTCTTAATGTAGGGGCCTTAATAATGTGAATCGGGTTTCGGGGCTCATTATACTATATTTATTATAGTAAGGAACACTGAAAATAGCTTCGGTAATTACTTCGGCCACACATTATGCTTCTGATGCTTCTGGCCTCTGGCGGGGCTCTTGACAGCAGCAGCAAAAGAACAAGCGTTTGAGCAATGGGAGCTGAAGGTTGGGATAAGTGACCGTCTGGCTTCTGTCCACCCCTTCGGTTGAAGGGGTTACACCGTAGTACATTATGGTATATATTATAGTACATTATCGGAAATATGATAGTACATTATAGTAGATTGTAAGGTCAAAAAATCGAGAGGTCCAGGAGCCAAGACCTCCAATCGTCCAATTTAGGACTTCGGGCTAGACATGCTTGCCTGCCCGAGCCACTAGGCCTACACCAGGCTCCCAGGCGAGGCGCGGAACCGAGCCCCAAACATACCGACCCTGGCTTCCTTCTGGGCTTCACACGCGGAAGCTCTCCTGTTACATGATGGCAAGACGTAAACCCCCGCCCGGGCCCAGCTTGACCTCTCAAAAGTAGAAGAGTATTTGGACTCCCTGGATCTGATAAACTGAAATTCTCAGTGCTTGAAGCAAAAGCCAGCCTGCCACAGTTTGTCCAAAGTAGCCTGCTCCTCAGCCGAGGATTCCCATACTTGCTTGGGCTGCTTGGAGGAGATGTTTATGGGCTTCGCGACCATGATGCAATCAGGGTTGGGGTCCTTAAATTATGAGCGAAGGCTGCTGAATTGGGGGGGGGGGGGGGATCGGGGATCGGGGTGGGCTGGGGACGCGCAATCAGCACAGGTGGGCCTGGCTGGGCCGGGGTTATTAATGCCTGACCTTGATAATTACAATAGAGTCTTGGGTGTATTGTGGAGTCATGTGCTTTGTTGGTCTGGGCTGTCAATGTGAGGGGATCTAACGCAACATGTGTTGACGCTTGCTTCTTGGATTACGGAGAATGCATGAGTCAGCAGAGCATCGGCCGCAGAACAGTAAACAAAAGGGTTATTAGCAGCCTGCCTATGAAGCATCGGTTCACTTCTTCAGATTGGTGAATAAGGAAGGTGCTGGACGAGACAGGTTCCCTGGACAACGAGCGAAACGTTTTGGATACGAAAGGAATGCAGCCCAATGCTGATGCCGAAAAGTACAGCTGTGACAAGCAACTCGTTCACCTCGAAACATTTCTGGAGGTCAACGGATTTATTAACCGATGTGAATATTGCAGACCCGGTCGGCCGCGGAATCTGCAGGAGGATCGCAAGCCACGTCCTGCCGCGGTAGCTAGACAGCGTCGCACGCAATAGTCGCATGGACAAACAATAAGACAAAGTATTCTGGCACGCAATAGACAGCAAAATTGCACAGTCTCGTCTAAGGTACTATGACAATGACTCGACAATTGCATGACAGAGCGACCAGGTTGGTTAAGACCTTTAAAAGCCGCGAGAACAGCCTGGCAAGGTCGCCTTGGCCCAGGCATTCACGATCTCGCTAGAACCTACGAGTAGCTAAAGATGCATCATGTAAACAAGCTTTCCAGGCATAGCAAGGATTAATGAATGCGAGCAATCCCCAAATCCGGGCTGCCGTTTGCTTTGCCTTCGGAGTGGCGTAAGGGTGGGTTGGCGATGACAGAGTAGCATGTTAGCTATCTTCGAAGCTTGCAAGACATTGCAAGACCCGGTAATCCCCCGAAGCCTAAGCCCTAAGGCCCCGAACGCCTAAACCCCAAAAGCTCGAAACTTCCCTAAATCCCTAACCCTGAAACCCGAAGCCCCCAAGCCCTAAACCTGGATCTGCCTCAAACTCCTCCGGCTCTGCCATCGGCGGCTCCACTTCCAGTTCAGCCGTCTCCTCCGGCATGTGTGCCCCAGCCAGTTGGCGGTGAAGAGGCATTCGCCTGAAGGGTCTCGGTTTTTTGCTTTGGGGTTTCGGGTTTAGGGATCGGTTTGCCCATCCCGCAGGGCGCTTGGACCCGGAAGCCTGAAACCCACAAAGTCAGAACCCCTCGAAAGAAAGAGGGCGCCAAAAACCCCAACCCCAACTTGATGCTCTTTCTGAGACACACAAAGGGGACCCACAAAAATATCAGGGTCTTCTAGTGGAAATTGTGTTTCCCACCATGTCCCGTATGATCCCTTAGCTTTAGCAAGGAGCACCCTGAGCACCCCCAAGAAGTGCAGCTCTGCCGGCTTCGGCTGCGGCTTCGGTGGAGTCTGCGGGGCTCGCTGACCGTTCGGCGCTGCCTTCACTGGCTGGTTTCGGGCTACCTTGAGAAGCCGATGGGTCGAAGACCCAATCGACAATTCAATAATGTAGGGAGTCCGGGGTATATTGTTGTGTGTATATATATATATATGTATATATAATGCTGATATTCAATCTGGGTAACTACTCCGACCCCTGTGACCACTTCGTAGTCACAAGAAGATGTTGTGTAGCTTGTCATCCTGACCCTAAATCCTGACAGCCAAGCCCCACCCGAAACATCCCTGCACCCAACTTCTGCAAACACCTCAAGCCCCCCCCCACCCCGCCGGGTCCTCTTAAAGGAAGCAGAATGAAAATTCACACTTCATGTAGGAGGCCGAACAATCAGACTCGGGGCCAGGGGTGTAGTCTACTAGAGCTGTAAGACGGAACCCAAACAAAGGATGTTGGCAATTATACAGGCTCCTGTACTAATTCTGTTTTTTCATCTTATTACATATTATTTATTCTATATATATATATACACATGTAATATTCCATATCGTGTGTGCATATGCATCTATGTATATAGCAATTATATAACTACATGATAATGTCGGCTATATGGCTATATTGGGGTCTAATTGCAGGCGGGGATCTGAGCGCTGGCTCGGCTGAGGGACACTGCGCCTGCCTCGGATCCGGCAACGCCCTGGGGGGCTTAGACTTTAGGGTCTTGGGGTTTCTAGGGTTTGGGATATGTAGGCGTTTTGACTTCAGGGCTTAGGGGTTTTGGGTGCGTAGGGTCTCAGGGTTCAGGGAATGCAGGGTCAAGGATCTAAGGATCGGAGCTTTGGAGATTCTTGCGTCTGGGGCCAATAGCTTTAAGGAGCAGAGTTTAAGGCTGCAGGGTTTTACGGGAAATAGAAAACCCGGTGATATCCAAAGGCCCGACAGGCATAACCTCCCAAAGCCCAACAGCCCCGGAATACCGGCCTGACCTATCGCCAATTGTATTGATCTGGGTTCCTGAATTTGACTATATGCCATAATCTCTACTATAGATTACTACAGTATCCAAAAACATACTCTACTCTACTATCCTATACTAGACTGCACTACCCATATTCTTATTACAACGAAACTGCTGCAGTTCTTGCTATCTACTATAGAATATAAGCCAGAAACCCAGTCTTGGGCTGCCAAGCAGCGATCTAGACCCTGCGATGGGCTCGGGGCCGTCGGCTGCTGCTCATCCTCCTCCTGCTCCTTTTCCTGCACAGGATACATACATACATACACATATGTATATCTCGCACATACACATAACTACACAAATATTTATATCAGGGTCACTTATACACATATACCCATATTTACGTTTACCCCTATGCCAACTGATCTTTATGTATACATATACGTATAAATGCACAGAAACATATGCCTATACATATACGAGCACATACACATACATACGTACGCACATACTTGTGTATGCCTGTGTGTATGTGTACCCATATATACATATATACACACACGTGCATACATATATACATAAAGAGGAATAGGTATGTATGTATGTATGTATGTATGTATGCATGTAATTGTATGTATATATGTACATGTGCATGTGCATGTACATGTATATGTGTGTGCACGCTTGTATGCATGTATGTATGTACGTACGTATGTGGATGTACATGTTTACATAATTTTACATATATTATTATGTATATGTGTAATTGCAATTATGATTATAATGTTTATAACATGTGGAAGGTTCTCGAAATTGGCGTTCCTTGTAATCTAGGTTGCCTACTAGATGAGCGACAGACTCTTTGCGGGATCCTAACAAAACCGTAATCCAAAGTAACGAGAGATGCAACTCTCCAACACTCTGCCAGCAAAATGGCACACCAGGTCAAGCCTTTGTCTGTTTCTCGTTCTGCTGACGAACTTGTTTGAGTCGCGAGCGGATAGTCCGAAATCGGCGGTCGCAAATCCATGTTTCGCAAGGAGACCGCCCAAGAAACCCAAGACGGTCCAAGGCTTCCCAGTCTGCGCCTTCAGCTCGTTGATCAGCTTCCGAAAGCCGCAGGCAAACATGATCTTGTGTCCTTCGAGCTTCAGGGGTTGAGGCTTTGAGGGATAAGAGCGCCTTGCTGGTGACTTCTGAAAAGAGGGCCGGAATGTGGGCCATGAGAACTGACAGCTCGTAAAAAGTCTTGACTCGACAACGCGTGCGCAAAAGCCCAGAGCTCCAATTCCCATGCAAAGTTCGAAACGTCAAAACGCCGGAGATCGATTTTTACAAAGAGGTGTGCGATTTCGATTCCAAAGCTCAAGGATGTGCTGAAAAAAATCCTAGATGAAGACAGCCCCTTTTCACGATGCCTGTGTCACGTTGGTTTGCGAGCAAAGATTTGAGCGCCGCGCAGCGCATGGACACGACCGAAGGTGAACATGTAATATCGGGGGCTTAATCAATGCATCCGGTTTTGGTGGCACATTACAATTCACGTGTACTCAAGAACTCTAGCCAGGGCCCCTTTCAGTCGCAGGCGATAGACATGGCAAGGCCCCTGTTGCCGGCCCGGCCTGTTTTGCTAAGCGCAGTGCTCTTTAGGAACGGTTTCGAGAAGACCATCTTCCTGGGACAGGCGGATATCCAAGTGAACGCTTTGCCAGTGATTGAGAACCTGCTATCAAGTACGCATGGCCTGTTGAACATGCTCATGCTGCAAGGTGAAAACGTTTTGAACCGAGGCACTTGGTGTCGAGATCTTGCACAGCCCAGTCGACCAGCTCTTTCCAGCTGCTGCAGTTTTGGGCCATGCCCTGCCAAGTGGTCGGAGATGTCGACGTTGGTATGAGATAGATAAGGGACTACAACACGGCGCATAGAAATAAGTCAGCAACTCTGTGCATTATGCTGCGTGTCCAACCTCGAAAGCCTACAAGCCGACAGTCTGAAGAAGCCCACTTGCTCGGACCCGAAGCACAAACCTGTGAATGTCCACATGAAGCCTTCAATGCTTGCACCGAGGCCATCCAAAACAAGCATCGCTAAAGTACAGCATGCGCGACACCAAAAGCGGCACCTGCAGCTTACCACCGTTATGTTGCTGAGTGTTCTCACTACCTGCACTGTTCTTATGATGGTAAACACCACCATCGATAAAGCTGTAGCCCCTGCGTGTGGTCGTTGATATTTGCGCTGCAAGGCCTCGTGGTATTCCAGCATGACACCTTTGCCACGATCCAGGTTTAGCAGCCACTCGGCCAGCTCGTCCGTGAAGCCTCGAGGCAAAACTGACTTTGGCAAATTTGTGTGTCCTGTGGTGTACAATGCCAGATTTCATCCCACCAGCAACACAACACGAAAGGGAACCCGAAAACTGACATAGATTTTGGCAGTAGGCAGTTAGGCACGAAGCATTGGTATTAACGCAGCCTCGACATTAATATTAACATTCAGACGCTCGCATGAATCTGTCCCACACCTTGGCGGGCACGGGACTCTACAGCAGAAGGAGTGCGGGGCCCTTGCAGAGAGAAGGGAAGTGCAGAAGAGGCTGCTTCACCCGCACAGCCGGGGGAGGAGCAACGGCGATAACGATAACACTAGCATTAGCAGTATCAGGGAACAGTAACCGTCAGAGTAAGAGTGAGTAAGAGCCAAAGCGATACCGATAGCAGTAGCAGTAGCTGCTGTAGCTGAAGCTGTAGCAGCGTCGCGGCAGCAGTAACAGCAACAGCAAGGGGAACAGCAACAGCAGCGGGAACAGTAGTTGTGGCAGCAGCGAGAACCGGAACCAGCAACGGCACCGCAAAGTTATCACCCTCGTCGAACAAGTCTTGGTCTGAACTGTTGCGATGATTATTGATGATGCCACTTCTGCTTGCTTTTGTCCTATTGAAGCTGCTGCCACATCTTCCCTGGAAGGATGCCGCGGCCTTCCTCCCTGGGACGCTTCACACCATTCGTGGCAGGCTTTCCCACGGGAGTCGGAACACCTGCCGGCTGTCGATGCTGGGTTCAACTTGTGTCCGGATTTAGGTTTGTGGAGTCAACCCCATCCATCATCTTGGGCCTCCCTGTACTTACCGCTCTCATGTGTCATTTTGGCAAGTCGAGCTTTGACCATTGCCTGATTAGAAGCGGCTTCGGCTAACGACAGACGGTCCAGCTTGCAGGCTTCTGTCCAGCACCAAATGATCACAAGGTTGCGGCGTGGATGATTGGAATCCGTGATTGTAAGGCTGCCTCTGCAGCCCAGAAAATGATACACAAAACCCCCAAGTCCGAAACCCCTTCAACACACTGTTCAAGAGTTCGTCGGGTCAAGGATCTTCCACTAAGTTCTCCCACCAAGAAAGACACATCTCAAGCCTGACCCAGACCCTTCAACACAGAAGCCGACAAACTCCTGAACCACCCAATATAGTACTGGTATTTCTTAAGGCCCCCACAGTAAGTAATACTATTATAGATCCCTTTTGGCGCTGAAGCCTCTGCTCCTAAGTGCCCGGCGTGCTGTCGGTGGCTTCGAGGGCTCCGCCGGCTTCAGCTTCGAGGGGTCCGGTGGCTTCGTCGGCTCAGCCGGCTTTTGGCTCGGCTGAGGAGGCCTTCCGAGAAATTCATTGCACTCGTCACCAGCAACGATATATATATGTATATATTTAGATGCATCATATATATATATATACACACACATCTGTACGTATCTATGTATGTATGTATATATAATTTTTGTATGTGTATATATATATATATATATGTATGTATATATGTATGTATATATGTATGTAAATGTTTTGTATGTGTGTATATATATATATATTCACATTCGACCATGTGCCACTACAGAAGGAGAGCCGCAATTGGCGCTCGGTTCGATCCGACCAACACTCGGATTGAACTCACTCGAGCCCCAAATGCCCAACACACCCACACCGCGCAACCCAACACACCAAAAGCTGTCCAAAGGTCACGCATTCGGAAGACCTATTTACCATGCTGGCGGCTTCAAAATCAGTCGGGCTTCGTCCCACACTACGCTCGAAACCACTCTTTCGGCTTCCCAGACCGATGTGCAGCCTCCCACCCTAATCTCCCGAAAGCCATAGCCCAAACCCTTTAAACCTCAAACTCAAAACCCTAAACCGACCCAGAAAACTCCGCCTCTTCGTCGGCTTGGGCACCGAGGGGCGCGCCAGCGTCGCCCTAGGCGTCGGACGCGCCTTCTGCTTCGGCCGCAGGGGTGGCGTGACTGGCATGGAGCCTCGGCTGAAAGGTCCCCGGTTGAAACTGAACCGCGTGCATGCATTTTGCATACGTTCGCATAGCAATGTATTCGGTAAGACAAGCTCTATAGATACAAAGCAATATCATGTTTCATTCTATCGTATTATACAAGACTAGATTAGATTAGGTCAGATTCGGAGGGGTAAGTTTGGCTTAGACTACAGATCAGTTTAGATCAGATTTTGTTTTATTGGATATGTTGTACTAACATGTTATATACGACAATTTAATCGGAAAAGGATGCGACGATGCATGACACTCTTGACATTTACGCAGCAACGCATATGCATGAAATGCTGGACCAACGCAGGATATCTTAGAACGTCATGACATCTGTTCACACATCCCAATATATCTGCTGCAGCCGAGCACGCGAAATATCCGTTCACTACCAACCTTGCGAAATGCACAAATACATGCACCTACAGCTATGTCCACGAAGAAAAGAAGTACTGTGTAACCAGTACACGTGCTCGTATCGCAAATATGGCAACATGTGATAGCAGATGCGAGAAGCAACTTCGGGCAAAACTCCACATGAACATGCCGTCAGATGTATTCATTACATGAATAATTCCAAAAGCCAATGCTGCTGATGGGCGAAACAACATCATGATTCTTGCAGTTTGGGGTGGTTGAGGTATGCACGTATGTCATAAGTCTATAGTGACCTGGTGTTGTTACAACAGTACATGGCCACCGGTCATCATACATCTAGGCAGAAACCCATAAACGTAATCCTCTGACAGTGATACATGACCATGCCATGTAAACAACCACTACGGCATGATATCAAACATAGCCATCTACACTTCAGATAACCCTGCAGCACCAGGCGACTCCTGCCCTGCTCCAAGAAGCGGTTGAAGCTAGCGGAACTGAAAATGAAAGGGCTGCATTGGTACCTTCTCAGCTCCTCCATCGTCCGAGCCTAAAGTCGTCGTGGGCATCATCGTCTTCTTTGTCCTTTTTCGCAGTACCGACCATGCGTGTTAACCTGCTATGTTTTGACTTGTCCATACTTTCTGCTTCCTTTGCTATACATTCTGTTTCCTCGCGCGCCTGACCTGCAGAAATGCAGCTTCGCGACCTGGCGTCGCAGCAGATGAGCTGGGAGTGGCTCTTGCCGTTGGGCCGGACACTGGCCGAGGCGGTATCGCCTTATAGCAGTGGTGGCGAGAAGGACAGGGGAATGAATTGCAGGGCGTCCCACTGAGGGTCTCCGAGTTGCACAGTCATTGACAGCACAGCTTACCCAACAGTGCTGAGGCCGGATGTTGAACGCACCATCTCAAATGCAGATGCACATCTTGCTACCGACAGCTTGACTCTCTTACTCAGAAAGCTTTGTGCTTCCTGGATTCCGGAGGCGCCCCTGGTCTAACAGGCACAGCAGGTGGTGGGACCTGGACATGGCTCAGGACGCAACGGTTCGCATGTAACTGTCGCTGAAAGTTCTACTCAAGTATGTCCCACATGGGCAAACTTCTCGTCCATTGCTCCAAGGTCGAGGCTTTTAGGTGCATTAGTTACACGCTCGCAGGCATCTACTATGTGCTCTATACTCTAAACTAAACTCTATACTCTACATCTATGTACTCTACTACCCTATACACCATACATTATGCACCATAAGCTACATGCTTAACTATTAATTATTAATTATATATGCTACATACGACATAATGTTTCTGTATACCAGATACAAGTTTCTCTATATATGCTACATTAATATGTGCTTCATGCTACACTGTATCAGGGGGCGGGGGTGCTATGAATTGGGGAGTGCATGTGCGCTTTGATGATGATGACGATGATGGTGATAGCGGTGGTGCTGACGAACAGGGACTGCCTTTGGAGGTTCTATACTCCAGGTTTAAGCGGGAATCCGAAGGAATACTATTTCGTTTCTGTCCTCCTCCTCCGGGTCTTCCTCCTCCTCAAAATTTGTCCGGATACTGTCGACAGGTACGGCCGTCTCGAGCGAGTCCCTTCCCCAATCAGGCTCGCAGTCTGAATTGTCGGGTTCCTCCTTTACCTCACCTGTCAGAAATCCTATCGCTCATCCTGAAGATCACCCAACAGGCTAGAGCCTAGCCTCTGCTTCTTATGCTGAAGAAATTTGCGACAAAGTCGTGAGACCATCAAGGACATAGCTGCTAGCAGCTCTAGCAGGTTTATGCTGAAGGTGACTTCATGATCCTTTTTGGGGACAGCCCTGCGGCACCTGGGGCATCCAGTGGCCCGGAGGCACGCCTGATGCTCCTGGCGCTTGGGCCTGTGATTGGTAGGAACTGCAACTTAGAGTGGTGGAGTTCAGGGATAAAGGACTTTACAGTTTGGGCCTCCTAAACCAGGCCTCCGATATTGCGGCAGTGTCACGTTTAAGGTTAGGTTTCTTCGGAACGACTTAGCTGAGAATCAGAAATGTCGACTCACTAGGCCTACGAGGACGTCTGGTTTTAAAAAGCATCAGCCACCAGATCTGCATACAATCTGCATCTCCAAGCAATTGCGACTGCTTCCAGCCACACCCAGTCTGCCTCTTGAGTCATTGGGAACAGGTAGACGCAAAGTCGTGCTTCCAATGATACGGACAGAAAGCAGATGTGTGGGTTGACGTGCCTGCCATGTTTGTTTGTTCCTTCTGCTTCTTCTTACAAGTATGTGGAAAATTATTGGAATTGTTGCTGTTGTTGGCGGTGGTGGTGTCGTTGCTGTTGTTGTTTGTGCGGTTGCAGTGGTGTCTGCGGTTGCGGTGCTTGTAGTTGCGGTTGGTATGGCTTTGTGCTTTGGCTGAGGCTGTGCTTGTCGTTCCGTTTGCTGTTGTCTCTGTTGGTACTGGTGGTGGTGGTGGTGGCGGCGGCGGTATGCCGGAGTGAGACCCTCCGCTGCTACCCTACCTGACAAGGCAATTTAATCACATACTCGTGAACCCTGAAGCTCGACATGACATGGCCTGCCAACTGTTTCCCGGTGCCGCCCTCAACCCCGCAGCGAAAGAAACCCTGGCTGCCGGGCTCCCGACCGGTGGATACGACGGCCTGAAATGGCGTGAACAGCTTGAACCACTGTACACCCGCTATGCAAATCAGTTAGATCCCAAGATTTCGGTTCAGTGTCTACCGGCGGTGTGGGATGATGATGATGCTGCTGCTGCTGCTGGGGTGGTGGTGGTGGTAGTAGTGGTGGTGGTGGTGGTGGTGGTGAACGAGAACACGAGCAAGGACGACAGGTGACTTGAGGAGAGGCCGACAGGGGTTGTCCACTGAATAATCGGCCAAGCCTTTACTTTTACTGGGCCTAATCGAGCTGCCAAAGTTGAAGACACACATACAAACATCACAACTATCTGCAACTTGAGCAACATCAGCAGTTGGGACCGATTACCTGCCCCTATCCAATCAGTCGCTGTCCTCTCTAGACTCTCAGATCCAAGCGTGACAATTTGCAACAGCATGGGCGGGGCCGCTTTTAGCTTCGCAGGTGCGGTGGTAGGCTTTCAGAATACGGGTGCAGGCTTTAAGACACGTGCGGCTGCCCAACAATTGATACTGCCCATGCCACTGCTTTGTCAACACTACGACCAGTCGCACGTTTCGCATCGCAATTGTTCCATTTTTCAAGTTTATAGCACATCTCAAAGCTTAAGATTGCCGAGGTGCCGTGAAGGAACTGTCATGCCCGGCGGCCGCATCGCGAAGGCTGGCGGCGGAGCTAACAACCTTGGGAGCTGCAGCGTGGGGTTTAGTTCTTGACACTTTAAATGGTGCGTTGGGCGAAGAACGTTGCGCTTGGAGTATGGGGGCTGCTTCTCCAGTTGGTCGACTCCGATTTCCAAACAGGTTGGACGAAGGGGCTGACGAGATTCGCAGTTCAGGGATAGCTGGCTTGTGAAGGCTTCAGGCAACATGGATTCTGCCCAAACGAAAAACTAGTCATGCTCATTCTCACAGCGATACAACGGTGTTGCAGCACCTTGGATTCGGTCATTCCCCGGATCTTATAAGCTTGCTACCGCTGCTTCCCGAGCTGTACGTGGCAAACGCAACGAATCTCGGTGTCATATGCACCAAACTAGTGTAACTAGTGCAAATGCTGCCCATCTCTGCTAGTGGCACCCCTGCGGTTCGAACATGCACGTGAATCCAAACTAACGTTAAATCAGCGCGTGTTGGAATGCCACGCCCCAGAACCGAAAGGCCTAGACAATCTGCACTAAACTCAAACGCGAACCCTTGCTCCAGCCACCTTGGACCCAGGTTCAAAGGCAGCGGAGGACGTGGCGGCATCATCTCGGATGAGCAAGGGGCTTCTCGTGCCCATGGGAGATTTCAATTCATTCTCAAGACCTGGGCAGAGTCCCTGTACAAGCAGATGACAACTCAACGGAAACCAGTGACCAAACAAACGGCAAGCCCCAGACAGAATAAGACGGCCCTTGCCTTGGGAGGCACCACATGCCGATTCAGCATCGCGCGTCCCAAGGCAGCAACTCTTTGCATGGCCATTCTCTCCTTGGCTTGGGCCCAGAACTATACAAACCCTAAGGGCAAGCACTCAACCTTTCTACAAGCCAGTCGAAACCATGAAGCCCATAAAATCCTGGTGCGGGGCCCGGGACGCATGACTGCCTGAAATTTTTGAATGAAATGAAAATGCGCGATCAGGGACGTACTCAGAAGAGGCTCGTTGAAATCGATCAGCAAAACCTTTTCCGGTGCCACCAAAAACCAATGCCGATCCAAGACGTCGTGGCCCTGAACCCTAAACCCCAAACCCTAAACCCTAAACCCCAAACCCTAAACCCTAAACCCTAAACCCCAAGCTTTAAACCCTAAACCCCAAAACCCTAAACCCCCAAACCCTATAAACCCCTAAACCCCCAAACCCTATAAACCCCTAAACCCCCAAACCCTATAAACCCCTAAACCCCCAAACCCTACAAACCCCTAAACCCCCAAACCCTACAAACCCCTAAACCCCTAAACCCTACAAACCCCTAAACCCCCAAACCCTACAAACCCCTAAACCCCTAAACCCTACAAACCCCTAAACCCCTAAACCCTATAAACCCCTAAACCCCCAAACCCTACAAACCCCTAAACCCCTAAACCCCTAAACCCTACAAACCCCCAAACCCCCAAACCCTACAAACCCCTAAACCAAACCCTACAAACCCCAAACCCCAAACCCTACAAACCCTTAAAACCCACAAACCCACAAACCCTAAACCCCCAAACCCTACAAACCCCTAAACCCCTAAACCCTACAAACCCCTAACCCCCCAAACCCTACAAACCCCTAAACCCCTAAACCCCTAAACCCCCAAACCCTACAAACCCCTAAACCCCTAAACCCTACAAACCCCTAAACCCCCAAACCCTACAAACCCCTAAACCCCTAAACCCCCAAACCCTACAAACCCCTAAACCCCTAAACCCTACAAACCCCTAAACCCCCAAACCCTACAAACCCCTAAACCCCTAAACCCTACAAACCCCTAAACCCCCAAACCCTACAAACCCCTAAACCCCTAAACCCTACAAACCCCTAAACCCCCAAACCCTACAAACCCCTAAACCCCTAAACCCTACAAACCCCTAAACCCCCAAACCCTACAAACCCCTAAACCCCTAAACCCTACAAACCCCTAAACCCCCAAACCCTACAAACCCCTAAACCCCTAAACCCCTAAACCCCCAAACCCTACAAACCCCTAAACCCCTAAACCCTACAAACCCCTAAACCCTACAAACCCTATAAACCCCTAAACCCCTTTTAGGTACTCAGCCCCCTTTGAAGGACGGAGCTCTCGGGCCAAGGCTTCGGCCCTGGCCTGCGCTGCGAGGTTTCGTCCCTGGCCCTGGGTTTCAGGGAGTTGGAGTAGGGTTCCTTTAAAGGGCTCCTTTGAAAAATACTATAGGATACTGTAGGGTTCCTTTAAAGGGCTCCTTTGAAAAATACTATAGGATACTGTAGGGTTCCTTTAAAGGGCTCCTTTGAAAAATACTATAGGATACTATAAGGACTAAGGGTTTCGGGATTAGGGGCTTGGGGCTTCGGGTTTAGGGTTCCATTCAAGGCCTATACATGGTATGAAGGGGTTTTAGGGGTAGGCCCAATAATGAAGTGCCGGAGTTTAGTGCCGTAACTGTAGGTTAGTATTCGCGGCAGTATCAGATCAAGCTTAGAACTTTCATGGACCTATGCCTAGGGCTTGGGGCGTCAGGATGGTATTAGGGGTTGAAGCGTTAGGGTGCTGGTCTAGAGATTAGGGTGTCGCAGCCGAAGCTTCCTTGCCTTCCCATCTCTTCGACCCCCACGGTCTCTTCGGACATGATGTCCTTGGTAGTCCCAGGCTCTATTGGAGGCCTTGTGCCGCGTGAAAGAAACATCAGAAGCATGAGCGTTGCTTGAGGTTTAGGTTTAGCCGGGTCTGAGTCATGGCTGTCCTCGGCGTCGTGATTCTACTCCTCGTCAGTATTCTCGTCCTGCTCTTCGCCTTTTTCACCATCGTCGACGACTTCTGCTCAATGACTCATTGTCCAGCTCGGCATCATCGCCGGCAGAGTCATCATCCTCATCAGCACCAGCATCAGCATGTGCAGCAGCCTCGCTGGATAGTTCTTCTGCTGCCTGCCGCCACTGATGCTGCAGCTGCTGCTACCACTTTCTGCAATTGCTGCTGCTGCTGCCGCTGGTGTTGGTGTTGGGTTGGTGTCTCCACCGCTGCGGCTGATCAGCCTTTTGCTGTTGCTGTTGCAGTTACCGCTGGTTTCGCTCGTGCTGCTGCCGGCACCGTTGTTGGCATTCCTCGTCTGTACTGGTTTCTTGCTACTGACAGTGGTGTTTCTAGTAGCCACATTGCTCTAAGTATGGGTGTGCGTGTGTGTCTCGCCATTTTCATCACCCTGATCATTGCTGTGCTTCTTCGTACAGGCTATTTTCATCAGATCATCAACACCATCATAACCAACAACATCACCAACTTCATCATCATGACCATCATGGCAACTGTGTGCTTACGATGGTGGGTGCTGCGAGGGCTGATGCTACGTAGGAAGACCGTCACCATGCAAGCCGCCATTGGATGAGCAGGCCGACTGCATGCCTACAGTGGCGTCATTCACAAAAAACGCATGAGACCTAACGGCCCCCGGCATTGAGTGATCTCGCATATCGCGCTGAGATCCACACTGTTGCCATTGTCGCCACCTTTCCCCTTTCCTCGGCCAGTGGACGCAGAGGCATTACAGAGTCATAGAGTGGTCATGCCCACCGGCTGTCTGGACTGGGCAACCGGAAATAGGAAACGTCACAAAATACCTCGCCGAGAAAGCCAACTCAGGAATGTGCCAACGGATCGGCACAAAGAGTCTTCTGGACACGCTGCATGCACGGCATAGGTCTTCCCATCTATTGCAAATATGCGATCAATGACGTCCCAGGTGCCCTTCTGCAGCAGCAGAGTGAAAGGGTTGACGGTCTTTTCCTTCTTTTTCTTTGAAGACGAGGAGTTGCCGTCCTTCACACCTGTCAAGCTGGGTTCAGCACTTCGAGAGGACGGATCTCCTTGATTCGGCCTGCATACTGCCGGTGCCAATAGCATTGCCACAGTCTTTTGCCCAATACTCCAACACTCCGGTTCTGCCGGAATACATCTTGTCACGTCAACGAGATACTCCGAGGTTTCAACAGCCATTTTAGCGGCTGGCACCCTGTCCTTCTTCGTGGGTCCACTCAAGTCACTTAAGCTTCTGCGCAAGGTTGCCCAAAACTCCCAAACCCAAAGGGAACAAACCCGCCCCCTGCTTCCAATCCCGCGCTTGCCACTGGCATCACAGAATCAAGAAACCTAGCCACGCAGGATGCCTGATTTGGTCCAATCGCCCCATTCTTCGTCTTCGTCCTCCTCCTTCTCGTCTTCTTCTTTGCCTGTTTCGAAAGCATGGAAGGGGCTAAACATGTTAACTGCTTCCTGGCAGGATGAAAGAGGACCACTCCACATGCTCGCTACTCATTATCTGCTACTCTGGATTCCCCTGAAACACGGCATAACATATCATGTTGCAGCAGCATAATCTAACCTCATCTGCTCCACTGCCATTCTGGAAAAACATGGTCAAAACCCTGGACCCTGAAGCCCTAAGCCACCAAACCCTAAACCCCCTGCCAAGTGCAACATGGCAGTGTCCCTTACTCTAAATGCCCCGGCCTTTCTTCGTCCAGTCACCCCAGGCGTCGTCGGAGTCCTCAGGGTTCACAGCCGCGACAATTTGAACGAGCTGGGACGGACTATGCAGATGATAGCACGGTCATCGCAGCAGTAGAAGCAACAGAGACAGGAAACGATTAATTAAGGTAGAATGAATACTAGCAAGTTCATAGTCAGACTAACAGTGACAATGCGAAGAAGTATCCTGGTACGAAGCCATCTCAACTACACCCACAATTTTAAGCTCTCAAACCAAGCCTTATTATCCAATCCTAACCGCAAAACCGCAACCCTGAAACCTTAAAGCAGACCACACTTGAACTATTGAACAAGCTCTACAGCGCTTCTACGTGAATCAATGCGTCACCTCACGGCTCTTCAACTCTGCTAAGCAAAGTAACACTGGATACATCCTAAACCCCAACGCCCAAAGCTGCGGAACCCCAAAACCGTCAACAAAACCCCGCAACAACTCAACAGCCCAAAATCCAAACACCCAAAACGCTAATTAAAGAAACCTTGGGCCTTCATAAGGGTTCCTTGTATGAATCCTACTATTTTGGGGTTAGGCCCAGGGTTTCTTGATCAGGTTCCTACATGACCCCTGAAACCCTGAACCCTAAACCCTGAACCCTCAACCCTAAACCCCTTTGCGTCTCCTCCGCCTCATCTTCTTTCTTGGCATCGCCCTCCTCAGGCTCGGTCTTCCCCTCTGCGGAGCCTTCTCCGGTTGGACCTGCACTTGCCATATATATATATATATGTTATATTAACGTAAATACTGTATACCATGTACTATATCGTATATTATATCATGTCTTTATACCGCATTCGGTCAAACTCATGAACGAAGCTCCATACGGGTGGGTGGATGGCTGGCTGTACGGTTGTATGGTCTCACTGAAGTTGAACCTTGCAGCGAGATCTTGGACTCAGCGCTCATGGGACTTAGTAACTAGGGTTATAATTAGGGTAACTATACTTATAACCCCAATTAAGGCACATATAACCTTATACTTACTAAGTCCCATGATCCTCCCCTGTCGGCCTTCACCATCGGCCGGCGGCTCCTCCTGTCTGGAGACTTTTGCAAGTTGGGACTTCGGCCTTTGCGCCTAAAGATGCAACCACACAGCCCAAGCTCTGAAGCACAAAGTCCCCTAACTCCGGCGGAAAATTCGAAATCCCCGGCCCCGAACGCCTTAAGTCATGAGCTTGCAGTATTCTGATGCCCATGTGTCCGCAAAACATTCGAATAACTACGAGTTCGTGAATATGTCTCGTTCTCTATGCCGCACTCTCTCGCTCTCTCTGTCTTCCTCTCTCGCTCTCTTGCCCCTCAATTTAGGGATTCGGTGACCCGGTCTCACATCTGGGATCTCAGGTTCTGGGATGCCTCACAAACTGCATCCATCCACACTGGGGTGTGGAAGTTTCTCCGACAGTCCCAAAAACCTTCGACACGCGCGTTGCCCGGCCCATTTCCGGCAATTTCTCAAGCTCGGGCTACAGGTGTAAGATGTTGAAGCAACGATGGAAGTCGTCGTCGCAATCATCGAGCCCAAGACATGCAGCCCGGGCCCTTCGCAGATCCATCATAGGGTTCCTTTTACGGGCACAAAAGGGTTTTGCAGTAGGGTTCCTTTTAAGGGTGGCTGCAGTCCTCCAGAAGCGGCGGAGTGAGTGGCGCTGCAAGCCCGGGATCTTCCTGCCAAAGATTAAATAAATAAATATAGATATACATATATATATATACTTATTTATTTATATTGATATCTTTATATAACACATACAAATATATACATACACATATACATATACAAAGAAAATATAGGTGTATAAGCTCGACTTTTTACGTTCCCCGGCGTCATCTTCCACACAATCCAGCTTTTGTCCGAGGCTTGCGGGCGTTGCAGTTGCCATGATACCTCTGATACCTCGCCCGAAAATTGAGACCGAACGCAAAAACCATCGCTCGATGTGCGCAGTCTAAGCCATTTGTAACAATGAAACAAGAGGTGACCAGTTGAGGCTTCGGGCCCTTCTGGTTCAAGCAACTCCGGCTCATGAAATGCAAAAGCTTCAACTCGCATCTGGCCATCCATCGCATCGTGACTTTGGCCGCCCCGCCTAAACACGCGAACCCCCAATCACGCACAAATGATGCCAACATAGACACCAAAAGACCCTAAACCCTAAACCCAAACAGTATCCCAAAGACGACCTGGCACAGACTGAAACGTCGCTCATTCGTGGATCACAGCAAGACCACATCCCGACAAACCACCATGATCATCATGGCATCCCACTAGAGGCCGCCTGCCCCAGACCATCCAAGCCACTCATGCGAGCGAGAGCACACGACGTCCAACACTGGGAAGCACGATGCGAGCAGGACTGCGACAGAAGCACGAATCGCACCCGAAGCGCGCAAAGCGCCTTTGTAAGAGCAGGATGTGCCGAAATAGAGCCTTGGGCCTTGGACCTTTGGAGCAGGCGGTACCAGTATAATTGCACAAGGCAGTGTGGTGAGATCGCGACTTAGGAAGGTGGTAGAAGCCCACCTCGTGAGTATACAATCATCTCCAGCGTCCCTGGCGGATGAGGGCGACTTTCGCGAGAGCACGGTGTTGGTCTTGCAGCACCCGCTGGCGCATCGCCCGGACGTCTATCTAGCTCACTGAACCCTTTGCTCCGAACTTGAAACCGTGAAACACCCCTAATTTTGTCACACTTTGCCAAAGGTGTCCGCCTTCCAATTGGCATAAACCGCAGAGATTACAATCATCGAACACTGCAGTTCTGCATAGGCCAGAATTCTAGGCTGTGGAGTCAACACCGCCTATACAGCAAACCCACTCTACTAACCCTCAGACGTTTTTTCGACAAGCCCTGATTCACGATGCTTCTTTCGGATGAAGCCTTTCGGCTGGGGTTTGTTGTGTAGCCGGGGGTTTGAGCGGACATGGGCTGAAGTCTTTTTGTGTGCAGAGAAGCCGGGGAATTGGGGTGCAGAATGGAGGAAGGTCTGCAGTTTGGCTTGGGAAAGCAGCTGTCAAGATCGTCTGACCATAGTCGTCATGGTCATCATGGTACTAGCAACATTCTCATCATCAACACCATCTCCGCCGTCATCACTATCATCACTGCCACCATCACCCACATCATGACGCTCTTCGTCGTCGACATCGAAAACCGTAATCCAAAACCTGCAGTCCTCCGCTGAGTCTGCACCCATGACCTCAGCAAGGAGACGCCACCGCGCTCTCACCTGCGGAGACTCAGTTCAACTCAAAGCCCCAGCCTTGAGCCCTACGCCCCTCGCCTTGACCCTAAAACCCCCTCAAACTCTTGCAAGGATCCTCTCGCGGTTGACTCAAAATGAGGCATCAAAGCGCTAGAAACCGAGTGAGCATGCCAGCGCCAAGAAGCCATCCCTATTGGCTCTCGTGGTCTCAACTTCAACTTTGGCTAGGTTTGGGTCTTTTGGGTATAGGTCTCCGGGTCAAACACGACCATCAGCCAGTGATGTCTGCTATTCAGGAGTCCTGCTTATTTCCGCCCAGGCCTGCAAGAGGCCGCCAGCGACATCCGGCCGGTGCGTCGCGAGTCATCGCCGGCGGCTTAGGGTGTACGATTTAATGGCTCCTACAGCTTACAGGGTCGAAGGTTTAGGGCTTAGGGTTCGGGGTCTTACACCCGGCAAACTGGGCTGCTATGGGCGAGCTGCGTAGTTGAAGGAGATCTTCAAGGGCTTACTGGCCAGGTGCGCGTGGTGTTGTGTCCTTCTTGGATGGCTGGGAGTGTCTGCAAAAACACGATGACGAGCCCTAAATCAACAATCAAGAACCCTAAGATCCTACACTCTAAAGCACTAAGCGGAAGCCTCAAAGCCTCTAGATCATGCTTCAGACGCCGCCCTGTGATGACTGCATTGCCATGAGAGCTACAGCTGAAGCGAATGTGCTGCGGAAGGCATCCTTGTATCGGGAAGACGAACCATAAGACGAGCACTGATGAAAAGAGAAGCGGCCGTTAGAACAACAGTCTGCCACTGCAGTCTTAAATCACTTCGACATGTTACTTGTACTAATCCAGAGTAAGCGGCAAGTGAAGGCTTGCAGGGGTCAAAAGGATTAGGCTTCATATACCGCCCTGTGAGCTTCGAGGATCTATGGCTAAGGATTGAGAGCGCTGGTGGACGACTGGGCATGAACCCCTCCTTCGAGTTTCGATATGTCACATCCAAAAAAACAAGATGAAGCTCCGGGCAGAATCGGGAACCTCTACGACCTTAATCCGAAACAGTTCGCAACTCCCTTTTGCGAAAAGGGATGTGGAGTGGAGTGGAGGGCTACAATTAGCAGACACATGGATTCTGAGTGAACCTTGCAATCAAAACTACAAACTTACACTAAGACCCGAAACCTCTAAGCTCAAGCCTTCAATAGCCGAACGTGATGAAGCCTAGAAGATTGAATGTCCGACTCAGACCAGATGTCGAAATAGGACAACCAATTAGCCACACAGACAGCAAAATTCATCATAGCTTCATGAGGATGGTAGTCATGATGACTAATGATGATTTCTCATCCAAAAAATGTAGATATCATGCATCAATCTGTAAACTGGCGCCATCGTGGGGGCACTAGCTGATCGTGATTGGATCAAACCTCCCAATCCGACCGATCGTAGTCATTAGTATAACTATTGTTGCGACTACTGCTCCACTGTTATCTGCCATGTCATTGACAGTGGCATGGTTACTCTTGCAATGCAGTCGCGGTAGCCAAACCAGAATCCGACCTTCAGGTAGTGCTGGGGCGCTTCGTGGAAGCGCTCCACGATGAAGGTCTTGTCATCCTTATTGAGAAGGTCTTCAAGCCGGATCTGACGTTGGTCTTCCAGCCAGAGAACCCCCCTACCCTTCTGACTTGATCTGAAATTGCTTCCTGTGGACGCACAACCCCTGCTTGGCGAGAGGCTAAAGGTTGGATGTGCTGGATCATCTCCCGCGGGACGGACTGCCTTGCCAATGCTTCCAGCCGTATGCCGTGCGTTAAACCCTAAGCCGAAAGCCCATACACAGAAGCGCCTTGCCCCAGCTTAGAACCCAACAGAAGTGAAAAGCTTATGCCTGCAATGGCCTTGGACCCGAGTCGATCAAGCTTCGACGTAGACAGAGAAACGAGAGTGGCATGACAGCAACAAAAGCCCTGCCAGCGCAACTATGGAAAGAGCAAATGCTGCCTGACTCCCTGAATGCGATGCACTATGCCAGCAGATGCTCAAACAACACGCTGGCCTCTCTGCCCAGCCCTTTGCATCCTGGCTGCTGGGCACATGTGCCAATCTTACGTACTCTTCTCGTATGATTGTGCCTGTAGATCAGCAAGACTAGAGTCTAGATAGTTTGACTTCAGAGCTCGGACTGAAGTGCTTCATGGCCTCATGCTCGGTGAGACTTCACAGTGTCGAGGATCAGGGCATCACACGGACGATGGCGAGTTGCTAACTGGTACAGCTAGAGGGACTGGGGCACCGGCACCTTTAGCAATGGACTGCGGAAAGTGTGAAACATATCATGTTTGCTACATTCTATGAGAACGGGAGCCTCCCTGCCGTCCCAACATGCATTGAGCTTGGGTCTGAGTTGGTGCTTAAGCATTGAGGAGGAAGACGGACGGAAATGAACATGTAAAACTACGCCGGCCCGAATACGAGAGTTGCCAGCCTTCGCAAGTCTTTGCTGCAGCTCCGGTCAAGACTTGTACTCTTCTACACAGCGACGGTGGAGTTCAGCTGGTCACGGATGAGTTCAACAAGCCCAACACTACCTCGAACCCCGGGGTCTCGCCCTGAACCCTGAACCCCAGACCGGTCCTGCATCCCGAAGGAAAGATGTCGGATGGAGTGGGAGACCTCGGTGACGCATGGCATGCAACTTGAACCGCTATAAGCAGCTTAAACGGAACAGTACAACTGAAGAATAATACTGATGACAATAGAAATGGTAATAAAGATGAAATAACTAAAACAAGACAACAATCATTTGAGTCTGAGTCTGTTCTGTGCAAACCAGTTTGCTTCTCGCGCAGCGCCAAGCTCAGGTCCACGCGTTCGTGAGCGCAGGGTTGACGTTGACGTTACCATGCGCCTCTGCCTGTGCCACAAGACCATTCCTGATTATAGTGCCTGGGGGGCCTAGTTTGCAAGGAACTTCTGCACAAATCTCCAGGAAAAGAGCACTCTGAAAGCTTCAAATGGGGCTTAGAAGCCAGTTGTCGGTCGTGTTGCTGTTCATCCTGGCTGACATTCATGTGTCTGCTGCGATTGCTACTACTGGCTACTGCTAATGCTTCTCCTCCTCCTCCTCCTCCGCCTACCCCTCCCCCTCCTCTTCCAACTACTACCACTACCACTGCCAATGCCTTCACTGCTGGTACCACTACTACGAGTACGTCAACGACTACTACGACACCTACTATACTGCTACGACTCTACGACTACTACGCCCTACGACTACCACCACGACTACTACCTACGTGCCCACCTCTACCTCTACCTCTGCCACGACCACTACCACACCACTACCACACCACTACCACACCACTACCACTGCCAGTACCACCACCACCACCACCACCACCACCACCACCACCACCACGACCACGACCACTACCACTAACCGCTACCAGCACCTGTACTCGTACTCGTACTCGTACTGCTGCTGCTGGTGCTACTGCTGCTACGACCACTACCACTACCACTACTTACTACTACTCTTATTACCACTTCTACTAACTACGAATAGTAACCACTACTACGACTACTACTACTACTACTACTACTACTACTACGACTACTACTACTACTACTACTACTACTACTACTACTACTACTACTACTACTACTACTACTACTACTACTACTTCTACTGCTTCTACTGCTACTACTACTGCTACTGCTACTACTGCTACTGCTACTGCTACTGCTCCTGCTCCTGCTCCTGCTCCTGCTACTGCTACTGCTACTGCTACTGCTACTGCTACTGCTACTGCTACTGCTACTGCTTCTACTGCCACTGCCACTGCTACTGCTACTGCTACTGCTGCTGCTACTGCTACTGCTACTGCTACTGCTACTACTGCGACTACTGCTACTACTGCCACTACTACCACTACCCTACCACTACTGTACCACTACCACTACCACCCCACTCCCACTCCCACTGCCACGACCACGACCACTACCACTACCACCACCACCACCACCACCACCACTACTTCTGCCGCTGCTACTACCACCACCACCACCACCACCACCGATACTACTGCCACTGCTACTACCACTGCTACTGCCACTCCTGCTGCTGCTGCTGCTGCTGCTGCTGCTGCTGCTGCTGCTATAGCTGCTCATGCTGCAACTACCACCACTACCTATACTACTTTTACGACGACTGCTGCTACTACCGCCATTTCTGCCACTTCTACTGCCACTACAATTACAACGACCACGACAATCAGAATTAATCTTTCGTATGACTTTAGTGGCATGACGACGGGCTTGTGATCGCCTGCAGGCTGAAATGGCCAGGGACTCGGGCGACGTAGAGTCGACCCTGGACCTGCAAAGGCTGGAGGATTTGGTACACGACGTGAGTCAGAAAGGTTCTTTCGGTCATGCTTTAGGCTAGTATAACCGAATATACAGTAGGACTTGTGGTTACAGGCTTTGGAGTTCTGCCGATCCGGCTTGCGCATCGACATGTGGGTTTACAAGGAACCATCGGACAGGGCTTAACGTGACCTTCTGTGAAAACTGTGCCCACTGCTCTCGAATCCAGCATGAGATGACTGCAAGACAGCTCTCGGACGGATGGGCTACGCAAAGCCGAAGCCTGGCAGCCCTGCTCGAACATAGCGTGGTGCTGCGCAATCATGAGGTGGCTATTCCTGCGCAAATCTCTTCGTGCAGGCGAATCGGCCACCCGTATTTCGACAACTACCGGCTGTGGTAATCAACCCTCATGTCTACGGAACGGGTGGAGCTTTTGCTCTCCACTCCTGTGGCTGAAAAACAGAACCTTGCAACTTCGGAGCCAAGCATTTGGCAGCCTCTGCATGACAATACTTTCGCATGACGGTCGTCGCCTAATCGAAAACAAGATGTTCGGTTGTCATTGCTGGTGTTGCAATACATGGCTTTTGCATCTTGTTGCAAAGGGAAGCAGAGGCCAACTAGCAAGCTGCCATGTCCTGAGCTGCAGCCCTCACATCCCTGTTAGCAAGCATATGCCGCACACGCAAGGCTATGTTTTAGGGAGTGATGATAACAATGATGTCGATGGCGGCCGCGATGTAGATGATTCTGATGATCATGGTGATGGTAATGTTGATGGTGATGGTGATGATGATGGTGATGATGATGATGATGAGGAGGAGGAGGATGAGGATAATGATGATGATGATGTAGGCCATGATGATACGTACCTGTAGTAACGAGGTAGATAAGGGCTAGGATGATGATATAGGACAGTTTCGCAAGGAGAATCGTTGCCATCATTTTTGTTTGAGAGGAGGGGCTACGGTAGCACTTGTAAGGGGAGGTCTGAAGACCTGAGTCAGGCAGGAACGCGGACCCCATGAAAACTACGAGACTTTGATGACCGAGCCTCACTGTGTTCGTCAAGAACTCAATAATGTTCTCGACCTGAGATCGAGTTGCAGGGCTTCGAAGCTCAACAGCCCAAGCCCAAGGAACAACGTCAACCCGGGAACCCAAAACCGCCCACAAAGGAACCTCCCGAGCAGTGACACAAGCATGCTTTTTCCAATTGAAGCGCACCAGACAGTGGAAACCCCGCGCGTGCCGCGCCCCATATCGCGACCCCCCATTGGTGGAGACCCCCACACGCCGCAGCCTGTATCGACACCCCAATTGGTGGAACCTCCTGCGCTGCACCCCGTATCGCGATCCCTACCGAATCCCTTAATCGCCGCACGCCGTATCGCGACCCCCACCATGGAACCTCCCGCGCCGGACGCCGTACCGCGACTCCACCGGTGGAACCTTCGGCGCCGCACGCCGTATCACGACCCGCACGTAACCCAGCATGCATGTGCTACTTCGATCGTTCGAAGCCACACATTGTTTACCACGGCCCTTCAAAAGGGGCCAAAGAACGCTGCAGCAGTCCGGATCCCTGCCATGGGGTCGCCTTACACGCGCATTGATGCAGACCAAGTCGCACTTCGCTTGTTCTGAAACTGCTCGAACGTCCTGGGTTGATTGGGATTCTGCAACTTAGCTCACTGTGCCAAACTGTCGAACGATGTCTTATGCTGTTGCTTGCAAAGAAAACAACATGTTGAATTGGTGCTGACTGCGGCCAGGCCAGTGATTTTTCAAAAGGGCACTGATTGAAACAGAGCAGGGTTGCATGCAAAACCTGAAAGCACCGCCGAGCGACCCATCCCGCTTGTAGAGGCGGATGGTCGGAAATGCCTGGATTCGTTCCTGCAGAGATGACTCGCAAGAATGCTCTTCCAGTTCCCCCGCCCTCAACGGTGCAAGTGCCAGCACAACGACCAGCGTCGAACATATGCAGGGAATTCAGGGTTCGGGGTCCTCACCCACCCTTCCATATGCATCCCGGAGTTGATCTCCCAGCAGGCGTCGACTCAAAGCCCAAAGCAGCCAACCGTCCGTCAGAACCTGGAAGGTCCTTTGTCCGAAAACGCGAGAGCTCGGAATCATGTCTCTAACGGCTATGAAACCTCTACAGTAACGGAAACCAGAACTCTTGAAGTTGCTGGGGCCGGGCCTCCTGACACTTCCCCTGGAAGTCCACGCAGTTCATCTTCAGGAACTTGACGGTCGTCTGTCGGAGTCGGTGAAGAAACAAAGTGTGTATGTTAAAGGCCAGGCTGGATCACCGGCTGCACATGAAGACATCTAAGCTCTACGAATCACCTCACAGCCTTGCTTATGTCCTCAGAAGCTTGGC